ACCAGCCATTACCAGAAGTTAGGACAGAAACATGGAACAGATTCTCCTTCACAGCCTTAAAAAGGAATCAACTTGGCCGACACCTTTATTTCTAACTTCTAACCTCCAGAACTGTGAGAGAATAAATTTCTGTTGTAAGTCATGCAATTTGTGGTACACTGTTATGGCAGCCCCAGGAAACTAATACACGAAGATATAGTAAGTGCAAGTGGTTTCTTTTGAAGGAGAGTCAAGGAACCACTGATTGCAGGATGGAGAAGTGACACTCAGAAGAAAATGACAGTAATAGGGTGGGCTGAGTAAGTTACCTCTGCAGGTGTGGCTCAATCCTTTTGTGAACCTCCAGGAGGCAATACAGAATACACTTTAGCGTTGTCCCACCTCTGAGGAGTGAGAACATTGGTATTTTTATTTATTTATTTTTTAAAAGATTTTATTGGGGAATTGGGGGAGGGGAACAGCGTTGGGGAATTGGGAAGGGGAACAGACAAGTTGCTGTCCTTTTGTTGTGTCTAGTTGTGGAGGACATCGCTTCACTGGCCCATGTTGGTATTGTGATCATTGCACTCTTCCCGGGTGAGGCAGTCACTCACTGGCCATTGGACGGCTGCTCACGAAGATCATGCCAGCTGCTGGCCAGCCCCACTGCAGCCTACGCCGTTGCCAGCGACTCATGGCAGCCCAGCTCCAGGTCGAGATGTTCTTCACCATCTTAGCTGTAGAGCGCACAGTGTCCTCTACATGTGGCCCTCATGTGGGATCCGAACCGAGGACCTGCTGCTCAGAGCTGGCATCCCAAGCCAACTCTTAACCAATGCACCACTCGGCTGGTCCAACATTGGTATATTTATTAGTATAAATATCGGTGTATTAGTTTTCTATGGCTGTTGTAACAAATTATCACAAATTTGGTGCTGAAAAACAACAGAAATTTATTCCCTCAAATATCTAGAGGCCAGAAAGCCAAAATCATTATCACTGGAATCGTGCTGTTAGCAGGGCCTAGCTCCCTCCAGAGGCTCTAGGGGAGAATCTGTTCCTTGCCTCTTCCCTTCTGGTGGCTACTGGCATTTGTTAATTTCTGCCTATTTCACCACAATCTGCTTCTGTGGTCACACTGCTTCTTCCTCTTCCGTGTGAAATCTCCCTGTGCCGATCTCTTATAAGCACACATGTGATTGCCTTTAGGGGTCATCTGGATAGTCCAGGATAATCTCCCCAACTCAAGATCCTTAATCATACCTTTGGCTACTATATAAGGTAATATTCACAGGTTTCAGGGATCAAGACCTGGTGCCTTTGGAAGACATTTTCCATCTACAATAATTGGTATATTTATCCTTCAACTTCCATTTGTAATTGGTTAAAGGGTGCTCTCAGGGGTGAAAACTCCTTAACATTTTTGGCCTGCCCTACAAGGGTTGAGAAAAAGCTAAGTTAAAAGTTGCAAGGACTTGTAGAGGACTTTTGGGGGTATGTATGGAATGGGAAGTCCTCAGAGGATTGTTAATGGGACACTAATAACATTTGCTATATTATTATTTTTGTTTAGTTTGGGTTTTTGTTAACAATTTTCATTTAATACTCATTAGTTATAATTATTAGCTATTTTAACCAAATTTTCTGATGGACCGCAATATAAATTATTTATACTACCTGTGTGACCTTGCTTAGAAAATATTATCCCACTTATATGAACTTGATCCGTTCTACAAGGGTACCTTTAAGTATACATTGCTCTGTCATTTCCTCCGAAGTATCTTTTCTTTATCTTTTTTTATTTTTAGCACCTATGCAATCTTTTTTATTAATCTCTTTTGGTCATGCATAATTATCTTTCTCAACTCTGTATATTTTTCTCAGCTATATATTTTAACATTGTCAATGGTAGAAGACCATGACATATGTATTTTCAAATTCTTGATGTTGTGATTTTGGAGATTTACATTTATAATCTGGCAACACTTAGTAATTTTTCATAAGGAAATACAAAGCATCTATTTTAAAAGAAACTATTTTAGTTTCTTCAATTTCCCTTTATAGAACATAAATTATCTCTGGGACAGGATCATTAGAAGCCTTATTGTCCCATGTCTCCTTAGTGACAGTTTCAAACCAGCTGTTTACAGAAAATCGAACTGTAATATGTGACTGACCAAGAAAGCCCTGGCTTGTTTCCAAAAATCTATGGAACATCGGGATTCTAGCTGTGGGTAAATGAATGAAATAGGGAATGTTGGAAGAGGCACAAGTGAAAAAAAATAGTTTGGTTTTGGATAAGGTGAATTAAAGTTCTGTGGTTATCATGTGGAGATGTCCAGGAAGCAGGTGGCTTACAAGGCTGAATTTTGAGGGAAAGATATGCACTGGACAAAAGATTTGGGAATCTCTCTGCAATAGGAAGATGGATGAGATCACACTGGAAAAGCAAGTAGAATGAGAAGTAGAAAAGTGGGCAAGTGAGAAATCTGAGTCAGCAAATTATATATACACACACACACACACACACACACACACACACACATATATACACACACACACTTTTTTAAAAGATTTTTATTGGGGAAGGGAAACAGTGTAGGGGAATCAGGGAAGGGGAACAGACAAGTTGCTGTCCTTTTGTTCTTCAGTCTAGTTGTGGAGGACGTCGCTTCACTGGCCCATGTTAGTATTGTTGTCATTGCATTCTTTCCCGGCTGAGGCAGATCGGTTGCCAGCCATTGGACGGCCGCTCATGGTGGCTGCTGTAGCTTACAGCAGCCCAGCTCCAGGTCGAGCTGTTGTTCACCATCTTAGCTGTAGAAGGTGCAGCAACACTGGCCCTCATGTGGGATCTAAATCGGCGGCCCTGCTGCTCAGGGCTCGTGTTCCCAAGCCAACTGTTAACCAACGAGCCATTCGGCTGGCCCAAGAGTCAGCAAATTGAAAAGGCAAGAGGAAGGAGGAATGGAGGCAGGAAGAGAACCTGGGGAAGAGGCTGTTAGGAGAGCCAAGAGAGTGGGAATTCTAATGTGCGAAAGGAGAAATGCAGCGGAGAGATCTAGTTAAACAAAGACAGAAAGGAAAAGAAATTACATCATTCAGTGCACACTTATAAAAGAAAAACTCAAAAGTTGGAGGTTCTTGATGAACTTAATGAGAGCAGTTTCAGTGGGATATTACAGGCAGAGTCAATTGGGTTAACAGACCTCTCAAAAGGGCTCACAGGAATCTCTGGGCACAATCCCTGTGAAGCAAGTTTGGGGTAGCACAGTGACTCCTCTCAGCCCAACTGTCCAGGAAAGCTCTGGAGGCTCCAAGAGGATCTAGAGCCCAAATTGAGTTTAGCAGCGGATTGAGTGGGAAATGACATAAAACTGACAAACCAGCAAGATTAAATTAGTAAACTTCCATTTTAAAGTTTGCAATCAAATAATAGATTGCTCAAATTCAAGATGGGAGAGATTTAGCTTGGCAACAATTGCTTAAAAATGATCCAAAGATTTTTGTTGATGATAGATTTAAAATGGGCCAAAAGTATGACTTAATTCCCCAAAAAGCTAGCACAGGATTGGACTGTGATAATACAGAAGTGGAGACACCAGGAGAATACTAATTTTATTGGAAGTAAGGACAAGCAGGGAAGGAGGAAAATAGAACAGCAATTAAAAAGGCGATAGAATCATCAGAAAACAATTTAAGGATGGAAGGTATCTGAATATGTTTATTGGCCAAGGAGAGGAATCCATTGGGGAGGGAAAGGACACAGGAGAGAAGGGGTAATAGTGCTACAGGAGACTGATGATGTTAGGAGACCGTTGGTTTCAAACTGAAATGTGGATGCCTCACCCGTGGAGACTGGCAGGAAGGCTGAAAGATGGGAGTGCCCAAGGATAAGATGCTGTTTGGAAAGGAATTTGGACACTTTGGAAGAGCATAGGCAAACGTTTTCAGCTTGCTTGATGAAGTAATACTCCAGTGGGACAGGCTCTGCTGTTTCAGAGAGGGTGTGAGGAGACAGCGCAATGGGGGAAATTGGGGACGTTGAAAGGGAGGGAAAGAATTCCAGATAGAATGGAATTCTTGGTCTTTGAAGTGGGATCCGGAAATTGGGAGGTTTCCTTTCAGTATGTTTAAGACCAACACCCACAGGAAGCTCAGAACCTTTTGAGCCCTTGCTGGCTTTTCCCATTTGGCTCAGGACTGCCAGGCCAGACCCAGAGTCAGTAATGTGCTCAAGAATCATAGGCTTTAAAGTTAAACAAACAAACCGTAAGTGTAATTCCTAAATGTATTCATGAAAAAAGTCTTTGAGAGACAATCATTTTAAAAACATATTCTTGCAATGCATAAATCTTCCCGTTTAAAATTCTGGCGGAATTACTAAGCAGACAGAACAATTTGCACAAAGCTAATATAGTTGTAAAATACTGAAATGCAGATGAATTTCACTGATGTAACTCTTTACCAGACAACGGTTATTAAAGCAAAAAGTGTTTCAAAACAAAACATCAAGAATCACAGACTTTTGAGTGGTGGGGGGTGGGGTGGGTCATGAGAAATCAACTCGGTATTTCACAAACACGCCCGTCAAGGGCCAGGCGAGGAGCGGGCATTACACAAATGGAATCAGCTTTTCTCTGCCGTCAAGACTTTACGGAAGGTAAACACACTACAAAAATCAGTTTTTATAACAGAAAGATAAGTTACGTGAAGAAAGGCACAAAATACAACGAGGTTATTGAAAAAAACCAAGTCCCTTCACTTTGAGAGGAGGAGCCCGATTTCCCACTTTCAAACATGTCTGGGAAGGGTCAAAGATTAAGATACCTTGTAAAGTACCGCCCGGGGCCAGCCGCCTTTCGGCCCACGTTGTTCTGGGCTCGGTGCGTGCCCATGCTCGTGCACACCGGGGGTGGACGTCGGCCCAGGGCCGCGAGACTGTCACCGGGAGAGGGCGCGCGCCCGAGCCTGTCTGCGGAAGTCCCGCCCTCATATCCGGCGGCGGAGAATGGGGAGGGGCTAGCGGCAGCTTCCGTCTTGTGCACTGTAGAGGTTGCGGCACGTGTGTTGCCCCCTCGGGATTCCTGGATTATTTGTGCACCCTGGTGAACTTGTAGCGCCGCAACGCCTTTCAGATTTAAGGATGAAGGCGGTAAGAATCCTCTGAAGCTCGGTTTTCGCGGTTTAGGGTCCCTTTGGCTGATAGATTTGCTGCCTGGTGTAACTAGCTGTCTGGCTGGTTTTTGCCCGTGTCTAGGGGGCGGTGGCCTAGATTCGGGGCTCCGTCTTGGTTCTATGAGCTGTCCTCTTGGCTCTTACCCTGGCTCTTCCTGCATTGCCCACTGTGCTGGCGCTCCACTTCTGGAGCCACGATAAGACAAGCACCGAGTTGCATCCCTAGGATGTCAAACTTTGAAGCGTTCTTTCAAGACCATCTTTTGAACCTCGTATTTTACAGATAAAAACAGGGTCCTGTTCTCTGTTCTCAGTGAATTTGTAGTATGAGTCATGGGAACCGAGACGAGTCCATTTTATCCCCTAAAGGGTAAGGAGATAGGAAAGCAAATTCTGGTTCTCACAGAAAATTTGAGCTACTCCTAGGATTTGGATTTCTGAATGAGGAGTCACCAGCAAGAGAGTTGGAATTCAAAGTGTTGGAATTTCAGCTTTGCCTTTCTTAGTTTAAAGGTCTTTGACAAGTCACATAATCTATAAGCCTTAGCTTCATCAGTAATGTGCGGATAACAGCAATCACTGCTTAACGAGGCTGTTGTTAAGTTGGAGCGTTTTGTAAAGGATAAGACAATATATAAAGGTCAGTTGTTTGACAGTCAGCGTTTTGCTCCGAGTATGCTAACTACAGGTGTTAAGCTAGCCTCGAATAACCGTTTACCAATAGATCAGTGGTTCTTAACTTTTTTTTGTCCAAGACCCTTTTGAGCAGCTGTCGATTTGGTCACAAGAAGACCCCTGGTTGAATAACTGATGCTCTAGTGCCATTGTGTAGGATTAATGCTTTAGTTTGGTTTTAGCTTTTATAGGCAAGATCCATGGCTGTGAGACATTAGAATTGTGGAATTGGTGTAATGAAATTTATAATCGATTCTCTTTGCTCTGATTTTAAAAATAAAATAATTTAAATTTCTGGGTATGCTGCATTCCTCCTGTTGTTGTTTTACAGAGAAGAAATAAAAAACAGGTCCCAAGCTTTCGGAAGTTGCTAAAAACTAGTAAGGTCAAACTTGAAAACAAGCTAAAAAATAAGCAATTTAAACAACAAAGCACTCTCAAGAAGTACCGAAAAGAACAGAGGAAACTAAGGCAAGCTGTAAAAGATGCTGTGTCTAAGAGACCCGTTCCATTGGAGGACCCAAAGAAAAAACGACCAGGTAATCGTGAAGGCATTCTTGTGCTGTAATTTCCGTTGATTTGTTCTAAAATGTTCTTCATGAAATAACTGCTTTCTAGTAATCACTCTTCTTCTCAGATCTTCCCAAGAGTAGGTAAGAATAGTAGTCCTATATACTTTATCACAGTCAGTGTGATAAAACATTTCAATACAGTATTCATTGTGAGAAAGAACTAGCCTCTGCTTTTAGTTTCTCTAGAAAGCAGATCTGAAGATACAATACTTGGGAAAACAAACTCGGAATAGCCCTGTAAATAAATGTTGGGCAGCATACCAGGGCTGCCACTGTCCCATTCACTGGGCGGTTGCTAAGGTAAGAACATTGCTTTTCTCTGGTGCATTCTTCACAGTGTTGCCAAGGTTCATTTAGTATTCTAAACTTCTGGCTTTCTTTTCACTTGGAAACCTGGCATGAAATTGAGCTCTAATTGTCAGGGTTATTCTTTTGTAAAACTATTCAAGAACTCTCAGTACTCAAATTAGGTAAGGAATATGACCATTTTGAGTCAGACCAGTTCTACAGTGTTACTGGTACTTTCATGGTCATCATATTTGACTGTATCTGACTATTGTCTTCCCGTGTCCATCTCATTTTCTTAATCCTGATCTATTTAGTTTGATCTCTTGGCAACATATTATTGTGATGTATAAAAGGTCATGGGACTGGAAGTCAGGAAACTTGTTTTTTTTTCTTGATTTTGTTACTTACTAGTGATGTGGCCTCAGTTGGTCACTTAATTTCCAGGTATTTAATCTGTAAAAAAATGCTATGGTTGAGTTAGATACTTTTTAAGATCTCTTCCATTTAAATTCCAGTAGAACTTTTTTTTTAAAGATTTTTATTGGGGAATTGGCGGAGGGAAACAGACAAATGGGGGAGGGGAACAGCATTGGGGAATTGGGGGAAGGGGATCAGAATTTAAAAAGCATGATGTGTTAATAATTATATATTAAAAATAAGCAAAATATCTCTTCATTCTTACATATGGAAGTCTATCGACCATTGGATATAAGTGTATAAGGTTCAAGTGAAAGATTGTGTTAGAGTCATTTTGCAAATTATCAGCATATAGATGGTAATTGAAGTCTTAGACTTGGGTAAAATACTGTGGAGACTGTTATATGAGAATAAGAGAACGTAGAACAGAATTAGAAGGAACCCCAGCATTTAAGAAATGGGTGGAGGAAGAACCAGAGAATTAGGAAGAAAACCAGAATTGTACAGTGTCTTAGAAATCAAAAGAAGAGTGTTTCAAGAAAGAAGGAAACTATGTTCTAGCATGAAATACTCTACAAAATAGTTAATTTAAAAAAAAGTGAGAAGTAGTGTGTATTGAAGTTTTCACCCACTTGAAATTATAGGCTATCACCGCATGTCTGATACGCTTATACCCTTTGAATAAAAAAGGCAAAAAATATATATACTCATAAACTCATATAAACAATGACAGGCGGGATTAAAAAAAAAGAAATGCACTTTCCTTTGACCCAGCAGTCCCACTGCTAGGAATTCATCCTATGATTATACAGAGGGGTTGCCAAAAAATGTATACAGATTTTAAGAAAGGAGAAAACTGTATTACAATTGTAACATTCAATATATACTGATAACAAAAGATGAGCGCAAGGCACATGTATACATTTTTTGGCACCCCTAGTATTGGAAAAAAATTTGCTAAGAGTATACATGCCCAAGCATGTTCATTGCAACACTGTAAAATAGCAAAAGAAACCAAAAAAAACCAAACAAACACCACCACCACCACCACCACCACCAAAAACTGCAAATCAAAATGTCCATCAACAAGGAATTGTTATAATAAATGATCTAAATGTTTTATACAGGTGGTGGAATACTATATAGCTGTTAAGACTGAGGCAGAGCTATATCCTATATGGTACATAAGATCTATGCAGCAAATGATATGCTTATTATCCCTTCCTACTTCAAATTTTTTTAGCAGCTGCATATTTTTCTCTTCTATGGAAGTTTATTTAACCAGTAATAAAATGCATTTAAAATTTTGGAAAGATATTGACAGATTGCCCCCTAGAAAATGACTTGACCGTCTTAAAATGCTAATATGAAGAAATCAGTAGATTAAAGAGGTTGAAGATACAGGGGAGAGAGGGCTTAAACGATAGAACAAGGCAAGAGAAGGCAAGAGTTTTTGGGATCCAGAGCACTGGAGGAGAGGCACCTCTTTCGGTGTTAGGAGAAAGAAAAAGGAAAAGATGCCTGCAAGTGCTATTGAATTTAGTGTAGGAGATTTAAGGTGTTTTCTATCTTACAGCTTTTCTTTTCTCAGTAACTAGGTAGGTCCTCTAATGATTATGAAGTGAGGTAGGTGATGAAATTAGAAGTGTGATGATAGATAAGAGATTTGTGAAGGTACCCTAGGGGAGAGAGAAAGTTGACCAGGAAAATAAAACAATTGCTGGTCAGTTTGAGAAATAGCAGGCTCGTTTAAAGTAGATAGGTGTTCCATTCTGTGCACTGTGTACTTCATATAGTGATATTTATACGTGTTATTGGAGTGAGAATTGTAAGTTCTGTTAGGGAAGATGCTAAGATTGTCTTGTTCATGGTTGAATCCTCAGCACTTAGAACAGTGTTTAGCAGTTAGTTGGCATTCATTCTTCTTCTTTTTTTAATTATAAAAGAGAAAGAAAGAGAGCAAGGGACAAAGAGAGAAAGTAGAATGAGTCATACTTGGGTTTTGTTGGATGTAAGTGTCTAAACTGTAGAGGGAAAATAATTGAGGACATGTGCAAGAGGGTGGTTCAAGTGATAACCACACAGTCTAAACAAGGGAATGAAGATAGGATAGGATGTAGAGTCAAAGGATTGAAGGTCTATTTGGTCAAAAGTGCAATGGAAGTAACAGAGTGACAGCTGGAAGGACAAAAGGTTGTGATAGAGAGAGGGGTGAGCACCAAGGTTTGGGATGTGGCCCTTGGAGGGGGTGGTTGAAGTGGAGCGGATGTGACAGTTATTGGAGATCAGAGCTATGGGGCTAAGTCATTGGTCAAATGCTCTGTAAGACAATGTAGGATGTGAGGAGACATTTATTTTTTTATCGTTACAGCGACCTGGAAATGTTCCAGGCAGTTAGATTTCAGGGCACACTAGCACAGGACACCGCAGTGCAATAAAGAATTGTCCTGTTCAACAAGTGAGTAGTGCTCCCATTTAGAAACACTGGGCTCAGGTATTAGAAACACAAGCTTTTCCTGTTGGAGAACAAAAATGTAGAGTTCTACATCTCTAATCCTTGTTTCTGATTTTTCTTTTTTTTTCGGTCGAACAGGTAAAAGGATTGAGAGGGAAGAGGAGGAAGAAGAGGAAGCCCTTCCTTTAGATATGATGGATGAAGATGACTTACAGTTAATGGAGGATTTAGGACAAAGAGCATCTTTTCTAACGAGAGATCTTTCATCTAGGTAATACTTTATTTAGACTATAATCGTTCACATTCTTTCAGTATTAAAAACTTGGCTCTGAATTTAACCTATGTAGTTAGTGCAAGACTTCAGCTTAAAAACACAATGTTTACAAAGAGTAAACCCTATTATTCAGTTTATTTCCTAAATGAAGTTCATGAATAAAAGAAGCTGATTTTATTTAGTGAGCATCTTTATTTCTTTTGAGTCTGAATAGCGAAGTAGAGTGAATGAGAAAGAATGCCATTCTTTGTTTGAGGAATTGGCAGAACTGTCCTGAGTTCTTTATGGCTATGATCTCAGTCCTCATTACCCTATTAGGTAGGTATTATTCCCATTTACAGAGAGGAAACTGATGCTTCCCCACAATCACAAGTAGTAGATCTGCAATTTAAACTTCAATTTTTTTAACTCCTAAGTGCATGCTATGTTCTGAAGGTTTTTGGGAATGCAAAATAGCACGATGTCACCCTTGGCTCTATGAAATATTCTTCAGAAAGAATCTGCCGTAACTTTCACCTTTATTTTGCATGTAAAGGGAAAACTCAATATAGCCGTAGTTTGAGTCTTTGTGGTAGACTGTACAATTCATTTATTCATTTATTATTTGAGTGTCTGCTGTGTGCCTGGTATAGGTGCTAATATCTATATACCTATTGAAGGTTTGGCTAGTGATACAGTTTTCTGTGCTTTAAAAATGATAAGTCGGTGTTCCTTTTTAATATTTTAAAACTGAAAATTAAATTTTTTTTCTGCAGTGAGCCTGTTCACGCCAGGAAACGAAAGCATGAGCATGTCATGGATAAGTATGAAAAAATACCAAGAACTCTGCAAACTGTGCCAGAGAAGGAACTGATTCACTTGCTTCCTATCAAAGATAAAAGTGGTATAATCCCACAGACCAGGGAGAAGCCAGGTGACTGATTAGCCTGTGTATTACTTAAAATTTTAGCTCCTTAATAATATATATTTCTTTCATTAAAAATTTAATTTCATTTTGACTTTTACCCATATCTACAAAAGAGGGGTAGCTACAATTAGTCATCTGTCAAGCTTGATTATTTTAACCAGAAACACAGTTGATTATTTCAGGTGTCTGTTGTACTTGTAAGTTTCTTTTTAGTTATTTCACCAAATTCTTTTGTTTCCAAAATTAGAGCATGTTAATCATCCTTTATTAGGCTTTGTTTCTTACAAGGATCTTTTTTCTTGTGAAATAAAATATACAGAAGAGCCCAGAAATGAAAGATGTGAAGTTATGTGGTTTATCACAAAAAGCACACCCATAGAACTACCATCTGGGCAAGAAATAAATAGTGCCAGCACCCAGAAACTTCCCTTTCGTTCCCCTCAATCACTAACTGCTCTCTCCTCACAAAAGCAACTACTTTACTGAGTTTTATGTTATGTTAATCACTTCCCTGCTTTTCTTTGTAGTTTCACCACTTAAGTATATTATCACATTTTAATATACATGTTTTTCATAGTTATTGACAGTAATCAAGATGAAGAAAATCAAGAAGAGATGGAACTTGAGGAAGGTAATGGGATACATCTTTATAGTTACTAAATTGTTAATTGAGAATTGCATATTTTGAATTCCTTTTAATTGTAATAGAAGGATCTGCCTACAAATAACTATTACCTAATTATTAATAGCTTTAAATTACAAAAACAATTCTGTGGTATGAAATAATTTTGGTTCTTTCTTAGAGCAATTGTACTTTGTATATGTCTGCTTTAGATCATTAAATGTGGGTTTCTAACAGCACAGTTCTAAAAAGTTAGATTCAAATAACATTTTATTGTTTGAAACTGTTGTTTTGGAATTTGTGAAAGAACAAGCTGGTTAAATTTTACTTCTGCTTAGCAAACCTCATTAATGTGTAAATGAGATTACAGGTCAACTATTTACTGTTTTCAGTTATCTTTCATAAGCTTATTGCAGATTATGTGTGTTTATTAAATTTAGTTCTTTATGAATTTCTTAAGGTGAACATATTTTGTGTAGTTTAAAGGACTGTATAGAGTTGAAAACAGAATATTCTGTACTTAAAAAAACTAAAGCAGATTGCCCTTTCTCTTAGTTAATATGAGTTATTGTGAGTTTATTAGCATAGTAGTTAAGAATATGAGCTCTAGAATCAGGCTGCTTGGGCTTGAGTTCCATTTCTGCCAGGTTTATGAGTCTAGGCAAGTTACTTTCCCTTTGCCTCAGTTTCCTTATCTACAACATGGGACTATTGATAGTACCCCATTTATTGGGTACTATTGGTGGAGCTATTGATAGTACCTCATATGTTTGGTGAAAGGATAATAATATGCATTAAGGTTCTTGGATGCTTGTATATAATGGAATGTTGAAGAGGGAAAACCTAATCTGTTTCAGAGATCATTGAAGATCCTATTCGAGAGCTCACCATAGAAGAACATTTATTTGAGAGAAAAAAGAAATTACAGGAGAAGAAAATGCATATTGCAACCTTGGCGTCTGCCGTATTATCAGATCCAGAAAGTAATGTAAGTAGTATTTATTTCTTTAGGCTCTTCACATTAGATGTGGTCTAAATGTCTAATATTTTAAGATTCTCTTATCTGTAAGTTCACATAAAAAGGAACAGCATTAGCAAAACATAGTAAGTGAGTTAGAATAAGAGAGTAGACAGAACCTTAGCCTAATTCTGCATCGGAACTTAATTTCTTCTGTAATCTGAGAAAAGTCTCTTAAATGCTCCGAGTCTCTAAATGAAGATATTAGACTTAATGTAACTCTAAAAGTGGTCTTATAAAAATTAATTATACTAGGAAGGAGGAACCTACTTGTGAATTTGCTTGACTGATCTGTAAAGTTTTTAGTAAGGAACATGCTACACAAAAGTCAGTGGGATTAGTTCAGAAATACTTGTAAGTGGAATATATTTGAAGTGAAATAGACTGGGAGAGTTATACATAATGAATTGGGCCGTGGGTACAGTAGTGGAGGTGGTGATCGTTATAACATGTGGACTCAAGAAACCCCATTTTGTCTTGGCTCTGCTAACTACTATCTGTTCGACTTTGGGTAAGTTTTTTACCCAAGGCTCATTTTCTCCATCTCTAAAAGGGGATGGTACCTATTTTAAAACTTGTGATGATTAAATGATACATACATGAAGTCATATAAAGTGACACTATTATTTTTGTTATGTTGGTGTCCCCAACATCCTATGACAAATATTTGTTTACTGAACAATAAAATAGATTATTTACATGTATACAAAAAATTTCATGTGGCTGTGCTTTGGAGTAGTACTTTTCTAACAGAGTGACGGGAAGATCAGGAGCAGAATCGGGGAGGGGAATTTGGAGTATTTCTCACAGGCATTATCTCAATCATAAAACCATAGAGACAAGAGTTATTAACCTTATTTTACAGCGGAAAAATTGAGCTTTGAAAAACTCAAGTGGTTTGTTCCAGATTTGAACAGCCACTGGATTGGAGCCCAGGTCCTCTAACTCTGGAGCCCCATGTTCATGTCATATAAGTAGGGATAGCAAATAGGTGGTGACAGACTTGTCCTCCTCCCTGCTGTGGCAAACTGCTCATCACCAGAGTGCTGCTTTTACAGATACCACCCCAGCAGGCAGTGTCGCTCATCAAAGCAAGCTCATTAGTGTAAACCAATTTTCTACTTCTGCATTATAGCATACAGATGGTCTTTGTATGACTAACTTTGAAGCTAAAGTTAATGTGGATACATTATTAATTCCTGATTAATTTCTATACATGTGATTATATATTTAGTATATATAGCGTTAATATATTTCAAAAAGTTTTTAGAGAAATAGGACACACATCTTTAAGAAAATGCAATTAAAACAAATTTCTAAAAATAGTAAATTAACAAATTTAAACATTTTAAAGTATTTTTTTATAACTAACAAAAATATGATTAACTTCAAACTGGTGACTTCTCTTTTGGTAGTGTCTGGAGTTGTGTCTGGCTTGACGAGTCGCTATGAGTCACTGTGTGGATTTCACTTATTGTACCAGGTGTGGGGCTTTTGCTCATAAGTGTTTTGTCATGATACTCTAGCCTTATAAGTTATTTCTTTAACAGGTTAAAAAATTGAAAGAATTACGTTCCATGCTGATGGAACAAGATCCTGATGTGGCTGTTACTGTTCGGAAGCTGGTGATAATTTCTCTGATGGAGTTATTTAAAGACATTACTCCTTCATATAAAATCCGGCCCCTAACAGAAGCAGAAAAATCTACCAAGGTATGCTAAATACAATTACTATACAAAATAAGCTGAACATTTTGGAGAGCTAGAGATGGGAAAAACAGGGTGTTTTTTTTTTGTTTGGTTGTTTTTACATGACTGGGTATGTACTAGGCAGTCACATTTTGCACTGATTTTCAGATGTCAATATATTGATGTTAAAAAAATGATTGGTCTTTTGATCTTTTCAGATCCGCAAAGAAACCCAGAAGTTAAGAGAATTTGAAGAAGGTCTGGTTAGTCAATATAAATTTTATTTGGAAAATCTGGAGCAAATAGTTAAAGGTATATTTAACATCTCTTGAAAGCATGTAACAAACTTAACTTTGGCCAGGAAGGTGAATTCTATCTTCTGTGCTGTATGTTGACTGTCATTAATAGTGTATGGTCAGGAGAACAGTCTAGAGTCAGACTTTCTGGATACCCTTTAACACATAGGTGATAGGCACATCATTTAATCTCTGTGCCTCAGTTTTTCTGTCTATAAAATGGGAATGATAATAGTACTTACCTCACAGGATTGTTGTGTAGAAGTAAATGAATTTATAGGTGTAAAACACAGCTGTGCCTATGAATGTATAGATGTAAAACACAGCTGCGCCTAGCTTGTGCTATTAGGCACTATATTTTATCAGTTTTAGTATTGTTGCTGCAGTCCTTTATCTAGTAAGTAGTTGTTTGTTTTTTAAATTCATGAATGGTTGGAATTTAGAATTCTACTGTTTTTTTTTGAGGGACTAGTCAGGTGGGAAAGATAACTTGTAATGAGTACTTTGAAAATGGCTTACGAGTCACTTATTCAGGACGATAAACTTTTCTATCGAACTGTTGTTCTTTTTTTTTCTTTGGAAAAGGAAGGGCATAGGGAAAATTGGGCCATGATTGGGGAAGGAATTCAGTTGCCTAGGTCAGGTGCTTTCACTGACTTAGTTGGGCTTCTTTACTCGGTGCTGGTCCTAAGGATCATGCAGTTGCTCCCTCAGCTGGAACAGGACCACTGAATCCTGTTGGCCCAATAAGGGCATGAAGGTGTTGGACTAGCCACATTTCAAGTGCTCAGTGGCACGAGAGGCCCAGTGGCCTCCATATTTGACCATGCAGGTGCAGGCCTTTTCTAAGTGAATTGAACCATTATGAAGCGTTTCACCCCCCCCCCCCAAGTTTTAAAAATGTCTTGGTAAAATATACATAACATGAAATTTATCATTTTAACTATTTTTAAGTGTACAATTCTGTGCCATTAAGTAAATTCACATTATTGTACAACCATCACCACCATCCATCTCTAAACTTTTTCATCTTCCCCAAATGAAATTCGTTAACCATTAAACATGAATTCCTCACCCCTTCCTCCAGCCCTTGGCAGCAACCATTCTATTTTCTGTTCCTATGAATTTGACTATTCAGGAACCTCATACAAATGGAATCATACAATATTTGACCTTTTGTGATTTACTTAAGTCAGTTAGCATGAAATCTTCAAGATTCATCCTGTTGTAGCATGTGCCAGAATTTCCTTCCTTTTTAAGGTTAAATAATATTCCATTGTGTGTATAGACCACATTTTGTTTATCCAGTCGTCTGTAGATTAGTAACTCTTGTCAGGGTTAAGTAAATAGAACACATCATTCTTACTTATGGTGAACACAGTTCGTTTAGGGAAAAATTATATAGATGAGAAAAAAGTTTAAAATAAAGGTATTATCCAGACAGAAGAAGCTGAGAACCATATGATTCCACTGATATGTGGGATATAAAACTGAAAGCAACAAAGGAACAAGACAAACAAACAAACACTCAGAGACACAGACAACAGTTTAGTGGTTACCAGAGGGCTGTGGGGGAGGGTAGTGATAGAAGAGGGTAAACGGGGGTCAAATATATGGCGATGGAAGGAGAACTGACTCTGGGTGGTGAGCACACAATGTGATATATAGATGATGAATTACAGAATTGTACACTTGAAACCTATGTAACTTTACTAACCATTGTCACCCCAATAAACTTTAATTAAAAAAATAAATAAGTATATAAATAAAGGTACTATCCATATCATCTTTCTCACCTCTGGCTGGCTATATACGAGATAGGGGGAGGTATTGGACCTGCTGTAGAGACTAGCATATTCTCATGTTCAGGATGCCGTGTTACAGTAACAGTGTATGTATATAGAAGTTTCTAGAAAAGAGGTACCATGAATCAGCAGTTATTTTGAAGGAGAATTTGAATCTCCTTTGGACCTCCTGGGTAAAGATACCACTCTGAGCATCATCAAGAATTCAAGAGAAATGATGTTTTAGATTTTTGGAACATGAGAGAGACTGGGGCTCAGACAGTTTTGAACTTCCTCATATTCACTGGCCAGTTAGTGGGTGACTAGGATTTGAACCCAGGGTTCTTGACTTACAGTCAGGTGTTTGGGGAGAAGCCTTGGTAGAGCCCAGTGTAAGGACTCCTTGAAGGTATCCAGCTCCCTGTCCCCTCTCCTCTTTTACCCCCTAGGTACCCTTTTCATCTAATGCTATGTCTCAAAACGTATAGAAAGCCAAGATTCTGGTAATTGTGGTTAGAGCCAGAGGGTGAATGGTGTAGAAAAAATATAATGATAACCTTTGTACTTGTCTAAATGTAGACACAACTCATATTTAAGAATTGGAGTGGGGTGTTGAGTTTTCATATTATCTCATATTACTGTAAAAGAAAGATAATTAGTTGAAGTTTTGACCAATGAGTAAAGTAATTAACTATAGTTACCTTTTAATTAGACTGGAAGCAAAGGAAGCTGAAGAAAAGTAATGTAGTTTCCTTAAAGGCATACAAAGGACTGGCGGAAGTGGCTGTGAAGAGCCTGTGTGAGCTGTTGGTGGCACTGCCTCATTTCAACTTCCACAACAACATCATTGTATTGATTGTCCCGCTCATGAATGACATGTCAAAATCGGTGGGTTGCTCTAAATGAGTGTGGCTGTCCTGCTTAACAGAAAATTATAGACCATGTGATTTTTTTGTTAAATTTTTTGGAAGCTGTTATTTTGTAGGTATGCTAAAATAGTCTCTTTAAGAAAATTACTTGACAGTAAGTTTAGTGCAGTTGTTTTGAACAGGAGGCAGTTTTGCCTGCCAGGGAACATTAACCTGTGTCTGTAGACATTTTTGGCTGTCATGACTGCAGTAGTGGGGGCATGTTATTACTGGCATCTAGTGGGTAAAGGCTTCTGAACATCCTACAATACACTGGACAGCCCCCCACAACAAATAATTATCTGGCCCCAAATGTCAGTAGTATTGAGGTTGAGAAACACTGGTTTAGTGTAACATTTTATTTTTCAGATATCTGAAATGTGTTGTGAGGCAGTAAAGAAGCTCTTTAAACAAGATAAATTAGGCCAAGCTTCCCTCGGTGTAATTAAAGTGATTTCTGGTTTTGTGAAGGGCAGAAATTATGACGTTAGGCCAGAGGTAAGCCTGTCTTTTTTTTTTTTTACTTTGTGTTATATTTGTTTTTAAATTATGAAGCTAATTTTCAGTTGTCATGAAGAATTGATTGTTTATAGAAGTGTACAAAGTAGAAAGGGAAAGTACTCAATTCCCCAAATGTAACCTTCTATTTAGTCATATACCTTTTTTTTGTTTTTTTTAAGCTGAGCTATCCTGCCACCCATTGGCAGCTGTTGGCAGCTCAGCTCGGGCCAGGAATTGAACTGGCGACACTGTTGTTCAGAGCTCACACACTCTTGAGCGATCTCTTAACCAACTGAGCCACTCAGCCGGTCCTAGTCATATACTCTTGATTATTAAGCTGTAAATTTACTCTTAACAGTTTGATTTGTATCCATCCTTCTAGATGTTTTTCTATGCAAATGCACGTTTATTTTAAAATAAAAATGGTTTTACACTATGGAAATTATTCTGGAGGTGTTTTCATTTTATATATTGTGGAGTTATGTATAGGGCTCTCCCATTCTTTTGAATGTCTGTCATAGTGTTCCATTATGTGAATATATAGCCTCCTACTTGATGGACAGCTGGGTTGTTTGTAGGTTTTTGCTGTTATAGTCAGCATGGAAGAAAACATTTTGGCCATATTATTTTTTCATACTTGTGTATTTTGTGAGTTAAATTTCACTGAGCATAATGTCCTCCATGTTCATTCATGCTGTCACAAATGGTGGGATCCTTTTTTAATGGCTGAATAATATTCCATTGTATGAATATAGTATATTTTCTTTATTCATTTATTTGACTACAGACATATAGGTTGTTTCTGTATCTTGGCTATCGTGAATATTGCTGCAGTGAATATGGAAGTGCAGGTATTTCTTTGAGATGCTGATTTCATTTGGATATATCCCCAGAAGTGGGATTGCTGGATTATATGATAATTCTGTTTTTAATTTTTTGAGGAACCCCCATACTGTTTTTCATAGTGGCTGCACCAATTTTTATTCCTACCAACAGTGCACAAGGGTTCCCCTTTCTTTACACCCACACTAACACGTGTCATATCTTGTCTTTTTAACAAAGGTGACATCTCATTGTGGTTTTGATTTGGATTTCCCTGATGATTAGTGACGTTGAGCATCTTTTCATACTTGTTGGCCATTTGTATGTCTTTGGGAAATGTCTATTCGGATTCTTTGCCCATTTTTCAATCGGGTTATTTGTTCTTTGGTATTCAGTTGTATGAGTATTATCCATATTTTGGATATTAACCCCTTATCAGATATACAGATTGCAAATATTTTTTCCCATCCTGTAGGTTGCCTTTTTGTTCTGTTGATAGTCTGCTGTGCAGAGGTTTTAGTTTAATACCACTTACTTATTTTTGTTTTCATTGCCTGTGCCTTTGGTGTCATATGGAAAAAGGCCAATGTCAAGCAGCTTCTTCCCCATTATTTTTCTAGGAGTCTTATGGCTTCAGGTATTACATTTAAGTTTGTAATCCATTTTGAGTTACTTTTCATGAGTGGTTTGAGATAAGGATCCAGTTTCATTCTTTTGCATGTGCATATCCATTTTTCCCAACACTTTATTGAAGAGTATTTTTCCTCAGTATGTATTCTTGGTGCTCTTGCCAAAGATTAGTTGACCATATACTGTATTTTTGAATTTGGAGTTATTTTTACTTATTTTATTTTTTAAAAGATTTTATTGGGGAATTGGGAGAGGGGAACAGCGTTGGGGAATCGGGGAAGGGGAACACACAAGTTGCTGTCCTTTTGTTCTTCAGTCTAGTTGTGGAGGATGTTGCTTCACTGGCCCATGTTGGTATTATCATTGTGCTCTTCCCGGGTGAGGCAGATTCGTTGCTGGGCACTGGACGGCTGCTCGCGGCGGCTCTTGGCAGCTCACACTGGCTGCTGGCTACTCACGCTGGCTGCCGGCCACACATGGTAGCCCATGGCAGCCCACTGCAGCAGGGGCTGCAGCCGTCACCGGCGACTCACAGCAGCCCAGCTCCAAGTTGAGCTGTTGTTCACCATCTTAGCTGTAGAGGAGAGTGTCACTGGCCCTCATGTGGGATCTGAACCAGGGCCCTGCTGCTCAGAGCTGGCGTCCCAAGCCAGCTCTTAACCAACATGCCACTCGGCCGGCCCTGGAGTTATTTTTCATTTGTGGGTAATATTTTATGAACACATAGAATACCTACAAGACACTCAAGTTGATCTTTCTGATACCTAGAGTGACTTAGGGTTCACTATTTATGCATTTAGTTCTTACCTGTTTCCATTTTGTGCTTTAAGCCCTGTAATCTGAAATATTCATTTTTTTCCAATGTACATATTAGAAAAATATAAAGCTGTAGTTCTCAAGTTTTTTTCCAGGAATGCTTCTGTGACTGTAGGAGGTCAGTAGAGTGGATGTTCCTGAGAAAATGTAGGATCGTCTTTGTGTTTGGATGGTTGCTGTAGTGCATAAAACACCAATTTCCAAATTAGCGTCTGAATTTTTGAATGACTTAAGTCAATAGTTCCCATTGTGGTCCCTGAACCAGCATCAGTGGGAATTAGCAATACAAGTTCTGGTGCCCCACTCCAGACTTACTGAATCAGAATCTCTGGGCTGGGGATCAACTGTGTTTTAACAAGCCCTCCAGGTGATCTGATGTTTGCTAAAGTTGGGGACCTATTGGCTTGAAGGAAAATAAGTAGTCTTACAATAATAACACTAGTCTTCGTATTGTTTTTTTATTGGGAAGAAAAGATGAAAATTAGAACTGTTTAAAACTGAAGCTAGTTTGGTAAATTAAAACTGGCTTAGAACATGCCTAATTTTTATCCTCTCCTCCCATACTGGTTTGAACTTTTTTCTGGCCTGTCTATTCTTTGTAATCCTATCTACCAATGCCAAATAGTGTGTTCTCGGCCTTATTCTCATTAAACTGCAAAATAATATTACATGTATTTAGCCAAATAGTAGTTGTCCTTTCTAAACACAAATTATCATATATGTTTAGCAAAAAGATAATAGAACTTTTGTAAAATGTGATAAAAGATACTTCAAGGTTTTTTGTTGGTTTTTTTTTGCATGAAGCAAGGAAATAACATTGTTAAATGCTTATTTTTCTGTATAAAGTTTTTGAAGGCAGTATAAATATTAAGCTGTGTGTTTGTGTTTTCTTCAATATTAGATGTTAAAAACATTCTTGTGCCTAAGAATCAAGGAAGTAGAAGTGAAAAAAGATACAGAAGTCATTAATAAACCAAAAAAGTTCATGACTTTCAAGGAAAAGAGAAAAAGTCTATCAAGAATGCAGAGAAAGGTTTGATTTATTTCCTTTTTAAGTTTGATTTTATATTAAAATCATAGTCTAGGCACAGTATAGGCATAGTTAAATCAAATTATAAACATTTTAACATCTAATATTTAGAGAATTTAATTTTTCCCAGTATTGCAAAGAAATATGTTATTAAATAAGTCTAAACTGACAGTTCATTGGCAAAGAGAGCAATGGATGAAAAGATTTTCTGGCCATGCTGGCTTTTAAGATCGTCTTAGAGTCATGGTGACCCACAAGAGTCCTTCCTTAACAGAAAGGATGTATTTATGCCAATTTATTCACGACAGAGTAGGCTTTTGTTAACTGAATCATGTTTCTTTGATTTGTATTTGAAACCTTTTGTTTATTTACTGTGAGACTTGGGACACATTTTTTTTGTTTGTAAATTTTGAAAATTGGAGCTAATTAATAGCACCTAGTTATTGGGTCATTGCGCCGTTTAAGATGGCATGTAAAGCACTTAGCAGAGTGCATAACCGGATGTGCTTTATAAACTTAATTAGTCACCACCACCATTATTACTATTATTGCTTCTTAAAACATTTCTAAACAGTTTATTAGGGTTATCAAATTGCTTATAAAAACAAAACAAAAAATAATTTCCTGCATACCCATTTGTGAATGTGTCTAATAATTTTGAAAACATGACAGAAATGTCAAATTAGACTTATAACTGTAAACAAATGAAGGTAAATATTTTCATTATTTATACTACCTTAACAGGAGCTGGTTATGCCAGGTAAGAACAGGACGTAAGTAGCTGTGGGGAAACAAAGACCCAGTAAGAGCGGGTCCGCTCTCTAACCGCTTCACATGCGGGAAGGGAGCTCCATGTGTCTCAGGCAGCTTAGCAGTTATTGTTGACTGCTCTTCCAGCATCAGGAAGTGGGAAAACCTTGACGTTTTGTTGAATTTCTATATAGTATCTGGTTTTATCATTTATATTGGATACAAATGACTTTGGGAAGTATTGTTGATGACTGGTTCCCATGTCATATAGATGATTTAACAGTAAGAATTATTTCTGGGCTCAGCATGTTGTTCCTTTTTTTTCTTTTTTGAAATATTTTAATTTATATTATAGAAAACTATAGGGAATAGTGTACAGCATTCGATGTATCCACTTTTCTGAATGAGCAAATATAAATAGACTTGTATCAACTTTTTTTTGAAAAGAAAGAAACCATTGATGATAGAATCCCCTTTGGTCTCTCCAGTCGCATTCCTGTGCCTCCCACCCACCCCTGCCAGACGCAACCACTGTCCTCAGTTTGGTTTGTGTATGCTTCTTATCCATGTTTTTCTTCTTTTGCTTGTATTTGTACTCACAGACAATTTGTGGTATTATTATGTGTGTTTCATAATATTTACATATTATGCCTCTCTGCTTTTTTCACTCAGTGGTATATACTTTTTTTTTTCTTCCAATCTATTTTCAGTGGAAGAAAGCAGAAGAGAAACTAGAACGAGAGCTTCGGGAGGCAGAAGCTTCAGAGAGTACTGAGAAAAAACTTAAACTGGTAGGCAGTTTCATATTTTCTTCTGCTTTTAAAATGTTTTGTTCAATAATTTTGACTAGAGATTTATTGTTTCAACTTGTGGCTGTGTAATTTTGGTTTATTTCATGAGACGGAGAGGTGAGATGTGCACGAAACTGTAATGTGATCAGTGCTGGTTTTATGAAATCACAGGCTGTATATCTTTATTCTGTTTTGTTGAAGCTCCTAAGATTGAATTGTGGGGAGGGATGGGAAGGGACAAAAAGGTTGTGCCTTGAAAGTGACAATTATGGTAACTCAGGAGAAAAGTACTTGGTTATACTAAAGTCGATTGTCTGTTTCTTCTGCCAGCACACGGAGACTTTGAATATTGTGTTTGTAACCTACTTCAGAATATTGAAGAAGGCCCAGAGGTCACCTCTCCTGCCAGCAGTTCTAGAAGGTCTTGCCAAGTAAGGGCTGTGTAGGTTGAAACCTTTTAGACTTTCTAAATAAATAAGACCGATGTAACCATGAATTTTAAACAGGGTTTACTATTGATGACCCAGTGTCCTTCTCAGTTCTCATTTTCTTTTTGTCACCAGCTTTTCCTTGCCTTACTTTATTTGGCTAGTCCCTTTTGCTGCACTGGAAATATCTTCATGCATTTGGGTTCATATATTGCTCATTTTAAATTTTGATAAATATTGCCAAATTGCTTCCCCAAAACGTTTTACCAGTACACAGGGAATGTATCACTTCTGAGGTCCTTTCTTGTCCTAAGATTTACATAGTGTCGAAGGCTCTTGGACTAATTTTGAAGAGATTATCTTTTAACTACTTCAGTGCCTAATAATTTTATAGTGTACAGAGTGCTGACATTAAATAGCTCCCACGATTCTTTCTCTTTAAATCTATTGGGTGATCTCAGTTATTTCTAGAAAGAGAGGCCCAGTCCAGTCAAGTGACTTATGTAGGATCATATAGGTCATTAATTGCAGAGCCTGAACTAGACAAGAGGTCCAACTTTTTTTCTCATTTATTTTTAAAGCTTTCGTAGGGTCCATGTCCGTATAAATAGCAGAATCTTTCCTCTTTTCCTTCTTCCCACCTATTTTCCCAGAAGCAGATGCTGCTTGCTCCTTTATGACTTAGAACGTGGTGGACACCTGGTAAACTTTCCTCGGTGAAGCTGCTTGCTCTTAGTGACTTGTTTCTCAGGGCAGAAGGATTTTTGAAATACTCTATTTAGTTTAGTGCCTGCTGAGTATAGTGTCCAACTGTGGATGATTTGTCAAAAAGGCCTATCTGAAAAATTGAAAAGTATCAATCATCTCCATCATCATAGCTAATATTTTGTAATACAGAATATTAAAAATACAATTTTAAAGTCAAGTTTAATTTTTGGCTGCTTTATTTCTGTTTTTAGGTTATCTTTTAACTAAGTTTTGTTTGATTCTAGGTTTGCTCATCTTATAAATGTGGAGTTTTTTGATGATTTATTAGTGGTTCTACATAGTCTCATTGAGTCTGGTGTAAGTAACTCTATGAATGAATTAACTTTTTAAGATATAAATGGTATTTTTATTCTTAATATCTTTTTTTCTTTTTTTAAGGACCTAAGCTATCAAGAAAGTCTTCACTGTGTCCAGACTGCTTTTCATATTCTTTCTGGGCAAGGTAAGATCCTTTGCTGATCAAGGTTTGTTTGCTTTACCTTTGGAGGCTATAATATACCTAATTGCTTTTGTTGTCATTTCAAAGGTGATGTTCTGAATATTGATCCGATGAAATTCTATACACATCTTTACAAAACATTGTTCAAATTACATGCAGGTATGTATGTTTAGATAATGTGTCTTTAATAAATATTTCTTTTAAGAAAATGTTGTGACCGAATTATAGTCCATGAAAAATGAGAAATAGGCGCTGGTCTATAAAATGCTGGCCTGCCGCTGTCACACATCTTGTTTAACCTTCCATGAGACTTGGAGAGTGTGAACTTCTGGAATTGACTGGAGATGCAGGACAGCCCACTGCTTCTCTTGAGTGGTATAACCCTGCCTCATTGGTTAGGGAAATGATTCGGGACAGGTACAACAGCTGATGTTGGGTTTTTCTGCAGCTAGGTGAGGATGCATAATGAAAGGTAATGAAGGCCTGTCTGCTCTTTTAGGTGCTACCAATGAAGGCGTTGAGATTGTACTCCAGTGCCTCGATGTCATGCTCACGAAGCGCAGAAAGCAAGTTTCTCAGCAGCGAGCCCTTGCCTTCATCAAGCGCCTGTGTACCCTGGCTCTTCACGTTCTTCCAAATTCAAGCATTGGCATTTTAGCAACTAACAGAATATTAATGCATGTAAGTAGTGATGCAAACGAATAGAGCTAAGTTCTGTGCAACAGTGCTGTTTTGTTTGATCCCTCTTTTTTCCCACTTACATTATTATTTTCATTATAAAAGTAATTCACACTTGTAACAAAATCAGGTGATAAAGGAAGTACATAAGTTACAAAAGGAAAGTATTCCACCTGTATTGACTCTCCAGAGGTAACCGTTGTTATCATTTGGTGGGTATCCTTCCAGCTGACTTTTAAAATTTTCATATGTAAATGCATACACCAAACATAGACAAAACAACCTTTTTTTTTTTAGTGGAAAGGGGATTGAAGGGATTATTGTATATACCTATCAACGTATTTATTTATTTATTTTTAAGATTTTATTGGGGAATTGGATGGGAACAGTGTTGGGGAATTGGGGAAGGGGACCAGCCAAGTTGTTGCTCTTCAGTCTTCGTTGTGGAGGGCGCCAGTTGCCATCTGGCTTCCCATCAGCAGCTTCTGGCCTCTAAGCTCAAGGTGCTGTGTTCAATCTTAGTTGTGGGTGGGCGTAGCCACCATCCCATGCAGGAGTGGAACCTGGCAGCCTTGTTATTAAGAGTGCACACCCTATCCACTGAGCCCTCTGGGCGGCAGCTCAGCTCAAGGTGCCAAGTTCAGTCTTAGTTCTGGGTGGGCATAGCTCACCATTGAACAGGCAATCTTGTTATACCAGCTGAGCCATCCTGTTACCTGTTGGCAGCTCAACGACAGCTCAGCTTGGGTGCAGCATTACTGGCCCAAGTGGGAATTGAACTGGAGGCTCTGTTACTCAGAGCTCATGCGCTTAAGCCATCTCTTAACCAACTGAGCCACTCTGCCAGCCCTACAACTTTTTTTTAACACTTAATGGTGATGAACACATTTTTGTGTCAGTACACATATAACTCTCAATACTTTATCTCTTTAATGACTAAGGTTATTTGTTTAACAAACATACAGTTCTTACTAGGGGCCTGCCACTGTAAAAAATGCTTTACAAAAAAAAAATTAACTCACTTAATTTTCATAACAACTCTGTGAAATAGCTACTATTATTATTCCCGTTTTATAGATGGGGAAAACTGAGGTCCAGAGAGAATGAATAACTTGCTTAAAGTGACTCTGCTAGTAAGTGGCAGAGGTGGGATTTATAGTCAGGCAGTCTGGCTTTTATACTTTTCATTTTTCTTTCGATGGACATATAAGTTATTTCCTTTTTTACTATCACAAATTATCCTGTAATGAATATCTTTATGTTTATCTAATGTAATTATTTCTATAGGAAAGATTCCTAAAAGTTGGACTGCTGAGCAAAAAGAATATTCTCTTTTCTCTTGCAAGATAAAATAAATTCTTTTCAGAGTAAGCCAAGAAAATAATCTTTTGCAATTTTTGTTGTGTTATGGTATAAACTTAAATTTAAAAAATTAAAACTAGGTATGAAGTCCATCTGCTTATAGCTCTTATATAACCATAAAATCAAATGAAATTTAAGTACAAATAAAAGTATAGAACCCAATAACCTTCTTTATATTAACAATATTATATTAACAATATTAATTTAATCTTTCTTATGTGAAATTTTTGCAGACTTTCCCCAAAACAGATCTGTTGCTTGACAATGAGTCTCAGGGAAGCGGAGTATTTCTCCCTGAGCTGGACGAACCCGAGTACTGTAATGCTCAGAACACTGCTCTTTGGGAGCTGCATGCACTACGGGTAAGGGTCCCCCCACCCCACCTTTTATTTTGTGAGCAGTTTTGTTCAGTTTTTCCCCAGGTAATTATTATTGCAAGAGTACTTCATATATTTTGTTCTGGGACTGCCTTTTCTTGAATTCCTGTTTTAATAGTGTACATTTCACTTCACTCTTACATATTTTTAAGCTGTTCAGATACATTTTCTAAGGAAGCTGAAAAAGACAGTTTTGTGGGGTAAGATTGAACTCTTTCCCTTACCAGGCACATTTGCGTGGGGTCCTATTCAACGAGACTTCGATAGGCCTGTCAGTTTTAAGAGGCTACTTATATGTCGTGGTCCTACAGTGTGGACAGCATTAGAATGAGACTCGTAGAAAACATGTTTCAGGAAACCTGTTCTAAACCAACTTTCTAGCTCAGAGAGAAGTTGCTTTTGAATTTTCTATTTATATGGTAAAAGCAAGACTAAGCTATGTCACTGGTAACTTGGTCGTCAAACAGATTTGTGTTGTAATCCTGTGAGCAAAAATAGTATTTTTCCTGTAGGTATGTGGTTCTTATGAATTAACATATGCAGCTATATTTGTTAAAAAGATGAGTGTTTATTAAATAAAATCTTTGCTGTAGCTAGTGTTTTATAAAGTACTGACCAGTTCAAAATGTGGTTGCCTTGTTTCCCCTCCAGCGACATTTCCATCCCGTAGTGCAGAGATTTGCAGCTCACCTCATTGCCGGAGCCCCTTTGGAAGGCTCTGAAGCACTCAAACCGGAGCTGAGCCGAAGGTAGTATTTAATATCTCCTTACTATAAAACTGCAAATTTCAGTTGATAGCTCTTTACTCTGAGAAGTCTGTTTTATAAAGTAATAGATTTTAAAATGTAAAGTGCTGTTAGTTATCTGGATTTGGTCTCACTTCAAATCCCTGAATTACTCTGAAGAGAAAACATGCCGAATGTGATTTTGTTAGTTTGTTTTGGGTAATCACCTAACATTTTTCTGTCAGAAAAATTTCCAAACATACAGATAAGTGGAAAGAATAGTGACTCCCCCCCTATACCCATTACTCGGGTTCAGTGATTAATAAGATAATGCTGTGTTTGCTTATGTTAACACCCCCGAGTCCATCTACAGTGAGATTCTGTTTTTTTTTTTCTTGAATGGCCCTGCTAGCGCCAGAAAGATAGAAATGAGGAGAGAGGGAGAGAAAAGAGTTGCTTTGGAACCCTGCCATCCGGAAGTGCCGCAGTTTCTCTCCTTGGCCCTCACACCCATCTCTGCACAGGGCCTCCTGATCTGCAAGAAGCTTGGGTCACTACTTCTGGCATTCACCTTACACTCTTGCAGATGAAGAAAAGGGTCCTCCTAAAAGAAGCTTTTTTCCCCCAACTTTTTATTTTGAAAATTTTCAAAAGTATAGAAAAATTGAAAAAATAGTAATTACTTTATGCCCCCCCCCAAAATCTGATAGGAAATACTTCAGTTATACAGAAACGAAGAAAAAAATGGTATAAAAGACACCCTTGTAATGTACCTACCACTCAAAATGAATATTCTATAGATTTTTCTCCTTTGCAAACACACTGGTTTTTTAAATTCCGGGATCACAGGCAAGTGACCTGTAGGCCAACAGGCTGATTTTCTGGCCTCTTCAGAGTTTGAACAGAAATTGAATTAGTTGTTATTTTTTTAATATTGGAATAATTGACCTAAAAATCACATTTCCAGCTTCTCATAAAATACTGGGAGATTTGACAAAAATAGGTCTATATTTTTTACATGGCAGTTGTTAGCTGTTTACCCTTCTAAAATGAGACATAAACTGTAGTTTTCCGTAAACCCTTTTCCTTCTGGTTAGGATAAGAGATAACTTTGGGCCATAAAATAATAAAACGTCCAGTTTTTTCTTCCCTCATCCTTCCCACCTGTCCCCCAGCCTTGTTTTTTAAAAGGGGAAAAAAGGAAAAAACAATTCTTTACAACTTTTTTATCCACAATCCTTTTCTGGCAAGTTTTTGTCGGAGATCTTGAGTGTTTGCCTCATTTATGCCAGAGGTTTCCTTTTTCGGAGAAAGATGGTGAATGGTTTTCTCCCCCAGGCTTGAGAAAGGAGCCTCGTGATGTCTTCCCTTGGAGAGTGGAGCTTGGAATGTGGACACTAGTCACAACCCTTGCAGGCCCTTGCCGGTCTCCTTTGGAGAATGTGAATGAACCCTGAATCATTAAGGATTCATTCACATGCCATGGGTATAGGCATTTATTCTGTCCTGAAGGGCCTCTCCTTGCTTTTAATGCAGCCCAACAATTGAAGGGTCAAGCTGTTTGAAATCCACGGAGGATAACTCCATGTTTCACTTCTTTGGCTCACATGACTAAGTTAAACTTAGTTGCATATTGTTCACATAGCTGGTTGGATTGGGACTTGATCACACTGAGCATGAGGCCTTTTGCTCAGCCTTCTCTCCGTCCAGGCCTGTGTTTCTATTATAAACGTATACCAGACTTCTTTGAGGTGGACTTAGTTCGATAATGTTGTTATTGCATGGGAATTTAGGATTTATTTTATGTGCGTGTGTTGATCTGTTGTTTTCAAAAGCAGATTATGTTATACCTTAATATATAGGTTTAGAATAATGAGTCATTCTCTGGGCATAATTAATTTTCAAGTTGTACAAGTATGGTGGTGTCTTTACATTTCTATTTATGATTATAGATCTGCTGCAGAACTTTTTGAGGCTTACAGCATGGCAGCAATGACGTTCAATCCTCCTGTTGAAACTTCATGCCCCAAAAGGAAGGTATGTGATACTTTTCATAATTTTTTTTTTTAAAGATGAAGTAAAAACTAAATTAATATATCTCTTAATAACGGATTCCAACTTGCCTAATTGTTGTATAGGTAGTTTTTGTTTTTTGTTTTTTACGTTTAGGAGTTGTTGGTAGGATGGATCTCTGGGGTTGGAATTCTGTGTAGAGACAGTTATGAGATTGTTTCATGCAGTATTGGATTATGTCCAAGACCTGACCCAGCACTTGTCATTGTTGTTTCCCATGTTGGTTTGGTATCAGCTGTTGCCATTTTTAGCTGTGCTCACAGCTTGGCTTTTACTTACAGCGTAAGCATTTTTAACTCATAACTTTTAATATTTTTTCAGGATAAAGTTATACAAGGGGATTCATTTTTTAATGAAGATTTAAATCAACTAATCAAAAGGCATTGCAATGAAGTTGCTACTCACTTGCCTCTGGATTTCACCAAATGTTTAAAAACATCCCTAAGGTAGTAGAAGAATGAAGAGTCCGGACTTTCTTGTATATTTGTAGAGTTACACATAAAGATACATTGTTTATTTAGGAGCTTCTCTTTTTATACAACGGAAACTTCCTAAGAAAATTAACAGAGGAGGAAGAGTTACCCTTTGGTGGCACAGGATTCTACCCCAATTCTGAAAATGTCCTTTCATTAAGAAAGGAGACTCAAAAGCCTTTTCTTCCCCTAATATTTGGAAATGTTTTTCTTAATGATGTTTCCTTTTTAAAATTTAATATACATATTAAGTTACAATTTTAAAAAAATGGAAATGCAGCTGCTAGATTAAAATGAGGGCATAGAGCATAGAAAAATCAAGACCGTGAGATTGCATTTGAAAAGTTCAGCCACTCTTTGTAAACAAATACTCTTTATAACCAAAAAAATCTATCTTTATTGCACCACCATAGTTGGAAGTGAAAAAAATTCTAAATTTGAGTGAGTATATTTTTATGAAGATTTTTGAGAAAATAAAAAGTAGCTTGAAATTGAACACCAGGTTCATTGGCTCTTGCTGGCTGGAATACTTCAAGAAGTAACCTAAATTGGCCTTAAAAAAAAAAAAAGTTCATTATGGCTACATTTCAAGAAAGTATGAATGTGATTCTAGTCTCTTTGAAGTTTTTTGCATTTTCTGACATTCTCTGGAGGGTGATGGGGGAAGAACTGCGCCAGGGTAAAAAAGCCAAGCCCCAGATTGCACCATTCTGTTATAAGGATGAAAGGTACCCAATGAAGGGCTTTTTTTCTTTTTTTGGACAGGTAAAATACTTTATTCTTAGCAATATAATTACAAAGCAGTATTTTATGTAATAGCTATTGCATTATTCTAGGAGTAGCCTATGAAATAAGTGTTTAAATGACCAGGTTAAAAAAATTCTTTCTTGTGAATAGCTGAATAAAACAGCTGCTTTTTTTCTGCTTTCTATTCTTGTGATGTGAAAATTAAAAAAAAAGAAAAATGCACAGCAATGTAAATAACTAGATTTGTTATTGCTTCTTTGCTATAGAAGCCAGTGATTTTGGTCTAGGGCTTCAAGTTCCTATGTTTTCCTCATGAGGTAAATGAAAATAGAAAGTTCCTTTATATGCCAGCAGAGTGGAGGATAGCAGCTTAACAGTGCATGTTAATCTCTTAGTGTATTCTTATATGTGGTTTTAAAAAGTGTTGCTAAGATCAGTTTTTAGGCTTGAATATTTAATGAGAAATATGTGATTCAATACATAAATATTTGCTTTTAACCTATCTTTTAGATACAAAACAAAGTCCAGGAATGTTATGAATAGTTTGGATGACCAAAGGGTCTTTCCCCATCAGAGCACAAGTGACCA